GACGGAGACGCCTCGTGGACGTCAGCGAGGACGGAGACGTCTCGTGGTGACGGCTGAAGGTGTCTCTGCAGAGCTGAACAGGAAGACGAGCTTCAGCCTCAGTCAGGGACAGTGGAGGACAGGATTCTGATTACAAGCTCAACAGGTTGTCTTTGTTCGGGCGTAACGTATTTGAGTGATTTAATGAACAGTTGGAGCTCAGAGTGTGAGTCGGGGACGACTCTCAGCTACTACCACACAAAATGTCAGCTCAAACTCTGTAAAGGGACTTGGACATGGCCCCCTTTTGTGATTGATAAGGTGGTGGCCATCTTGACGTGGATCGACTCAAAGTGTTAATAAGTTTAGATGTTTATCCATTTACTGAGAGTTTAACATCCGTCCACTGGTTCACGAGATATTTTACTAACAGAGAAACAAACACAAACAGGTACATGATCACCCGCCAGTCATGGCAGCGATTTGGGTAAAAAAAAAAAAATGGAAAAATTAAAATTAGCTTCAGTTAATAAAACAGAGAGCGTTTCATCCAGTTTGAAAGATTCATAAATATTTAACTTTATTTAAACTTTAACTCGTAGCTGCAGGAGCGGGTTCTGACCCGAGCAGGAGCCTCAGAACCAGAGACGAGTCCTTTGATCACAGATAAAGCTGCTCAGCTCAGATCAGTCTGCGATCGGACCCGCAGCTCTCAGAAAACCCTCAACCTTCCAGTCTACTTGGATTAGAAACCCTGTCCACCTCGAGACCGCGGGAGCTCAGTCTAAAGTCTCTTTGGACCCTTAAAGATCACAACGTGATCCAGAACTGGATTGGAGGGAATATTTTAAAAACAACAACTCAGATTAACGAGTTCAGAGGGAAAAATCTGAATCTTCGGTGAATTGTGATGTTCTCGTGTCTCTGATCTGATCATGGAAGATTTGCTCGGAGCTGCTCGTGTTGAGTTAAGAGATCTAAAGAGTTTGAGCCTCGTCTCCTCCTCCTCCTCCTGCATCCAGCTCCTGCTGATGGGAGTCACCAGGAACGCTCCTTCAGTTCTGACACCACTTTAAAAAGTTTAAATACTTCCCGCAGTAAACCAGGTTTCTGTCTCGCTTTACTTCAAGAATTTAAAGGATTTCCACTGAAGCTCCAGAAGCTTAACGCTCCTGATCTTCTTGAAATTTAAAACTGAATTATTTGAATAAATCTATAAATTCCAGCCTTTGAGCTGAGTCCCGTTTACTGTCGTGTACTTTTTGCAGTTTTTGTACCTAAAAGTTTTGGGTAAGTTAAGAAGCTCTTTGTCACCGGTCTCTTCGTACCCACTTTAGTTTAATTTGTACCCAGATTGTCACCACATGGTACCCACTTCGTTAACGTTGATGATGTCACCTACAGGATCTAAGCACATTCTTTTTTATATATAGTTGATGATGTCATCATGTGCTAGGCCTCAATGTTCAAGGCTGCAGACGAGATATTTTCAGAACTCCTCGGCCCAAAACAAAATAAAGAACAAAACATATTTATTTTAATTTTGCATTGAGTGCTTAAAATGAGCCGTCGTTTCGCCTCCCCTCTCTTTGGAGCAGGATTGTGGGGAAAGTTACCAGCCAAGCTAACGTGCATGTTTTGGGTGTGTGGGAGGAAACCCACGCAGCACGGGGAGAACATGTAAACTCCACACAGGGAGATCAAAACCAGTAACGCTGTCACTGGGAGGCGGCGGCTCTGAACTTCTCTCCCGAGCTAAACACTTTGTTTTGGTGCTTTAAAAGCAGGAACGTTGTGCTTCCTCTGCACTTCATACACGCATCACCACTTCACCCCCCGCATCGTGGAGTGTCAGCTCTGAGGGAGGGGTGGGGGGAGGGGGGTGTTACAGTCAGCTCCAAGGGAGGGGTGGGGTGGGAGTGTTACATGTTTTCCCATGTGGTGCCGTTGCATGCAGGGCTGCAGGAAACATGCCTTATGTAAAAACGTGTGTGTGGATGTGTTGTGTGTGTGTGTGTGTGCGTGTGTGTGTGGGGGGGGTACGTGTTCATACCCAGCAGGTACAAACTGTCAGAGGTTGAGTAAAAGTCGAGGGAACGATTTGGCAAATTGATGAAGTGACCCCCCCCCCCCCCCCACACACACACACACATCCCACTGGATTAATTAAATATTCCAGAAATGACAGGAATACTTTAATACTTTGTGTTTAATTTCTACAGTTTGTTGAGAGTTTAATTATTTTGTTAGTATTTGGATCTTGTGATGTAACTTTAGATCATCACAAAGTTTAAACCTAAATTTTCTGGAGTTCTGGAGAACTTGGACCCCTGACCCCCACCCCCCCCCCTCACCTGGTAGATGACGACCCTGAACTTGTTGCGGGTGAGCAGCTCATCCTGCGTCGACTCCACCTTCTTGACCCGGACGTTCTGCTTCTCCACGCGGGTGCGGACCTCCTTGACGTTGGCGCTGACTTTGCGTGTCTTCTGCAGGAGCTTGTCCACCGTGACGCTGGTGTCGCCGTGGTCTTTGGCCAGCTTCAGCACGTCGCCCTGGACCGTCTTGATGTTGTTCTCCAGCTCCTGCTGCCGCTCCTCCATGCGCTGCTGGCTGGACTGGACGTTGTCGATGATGCCGGCCACGCGCTCCAGCAGAGACAGGATGGTCAGGGCGCTGATCGGGTTCCCGGCCTCGTCCTCCACGCCCACAATCTCCAGCTTCTCCTGGACCCCCGCCGTGCGGTGCTTCAGCTGATCCATTGTGGCGTATGGGGGGCTTTTCAGTCCAGGGACCTAGACTAGGATTGTTGGTGTCACCAGCAGACCGTGAAGTGGCAACACCCAACCTCGGTGACCCACACTGAGGTCTGGGAGCAGGAGAGAGGGGAACTCCACCTACCCCCCCTTTAAAAAGGGTGTCAGGATACCAGAGGGACCTGAGTCCAGCTCTCAGTGGTCCAGGCAGTAAACTTGGTGAAGCCCCAACCTCCCCAGCTAAAAATACCAACTCTTTGTAAGGTGACACTTTGACATTTTGGGAAGATGCAAAGCAGGAGGGGTGGCGATGGAAATACCCATCTGATTCGCCCCCCCCTCATGCTCGATGATTCATAATGTTCCGTTATCGGTACACATGTTCCCAGCAGCAGCTGCGACACCCGTTCGTCAACAGGAGCTGGTCTCTGCAGCGACAGAACCAAAGAAACCATGGCTGTCTGTTGTGATTACAGAGCTGGGGGGGGGGGGGGGGGGGGAATTCCAGGGGATAAACCTTTGATCCCTGCCCTTTTCCCCCCCCCCCCCCCCCCACCAACCGCCCCCCGGGGCAGCAGAGTCCAAACATTGACTGAGATCTGAAGCTTGTTTTAGAGATGACTGACAGTTCCAGAGCACGAGGAGACTCGGTCTTTTTGCTCTCCAGACTCAGAACAGACGCTTCAAACCGGATTGAAGAACGTCTTCAGAAACATAATAAAGCTGAGCCGAGAGCCTCAAGCTTCAAATGAGAGTTTGTTAAATCAAGTTTCACAGATTGATGTGGAAGATAAACAATTTGTAAATCATTTCATTTTTTAAATGTTAAAAAACCCAAACATTAGACAATTTAACCAGGTGGAGTCAGGTCCTCTGGATGATTCTTCTTGTTGAAACGTTTCATCTTTCATCCAAAGGACTTCTTCAGTCTGAGGAGCTGCAACAAACTCGGTCTTATAAACATGAACTTCTCATAGTGGATCAACCAGTTTGTTGTTGTTGTTCACATGCTCAAGAAGGACCATCAGCCTAACAATGGGTCATTAGCACCTGATGGCTGTTTACTGTTCACAGAGGGCTGAGTGATACTAGCAATCACAGCATTGTAAGAGGGGGACAGTTGAACCTGGAGGCTCCACCCCTGTTTAATGATGGACGGTTTCTTTTCACAAAGATGGCCTCCTTTACTCCTCTCTCAAACCATCGTTCCTCTCTGTCCAGGATGTGAACATCTTCATCCCTGAAAGAGTGACCTCTGGCCTGGAGATGAGTGTAGACCTCAGAGTCCTGGCCTGATGATGTTGATCTTCTGTGCTGGTCCATCCTTTTGGCCAGTGGCTGTTTTGTTTCCCTGATGTAAGACTGATCACCTCCTGACACTGAACAACATACACAGTATTACTCTGTTTGTGCCGGGGGACTGGATCTTTGGGATGAACCAGTCTTTAATGTATTTTGGGGTTTAAAAGCCACTGGGACGTTATGTTTAGAAAATAAACGTCTCAGTTTCTCTGATACTCCCTCAACATATGGAATGACCACTGGTCTGGGTCTGGGTTCCTCCTTTTCACCTGATGGCTGACTGGAGTCAGGGCTTTAACAGACTACTCGAGTAATCGACACAACGATTCCTGGGACATCTATTGAGGTTTTTAATTTCACGTCGAGTATTTGTGGTGACGTCATTAAGTTGCCGTTACGTCATTGCGTCACTTGTCGCGTGATCCGCATCGGGCACGGATTACAAAATGGATTCCTCCAAGCAGACAGATGGAGCGGAGCAGGCCCAGTCTTGACAAACAGGTAGAAATGCATCAATGGTCAGTAAATATTTCACTAAAGATGAATCTTCTGGTTCAACTACCGTAAGGAAACAGGAGATGAATCAACTTCCTGACTGTTTGGAGCTCGTTGTGAACCGGTGTTACACCATATTCTGTGACCACCGTATATTGTGACCGTAGGGGGCGGTGTTGCATGCACTGTTGCAGGTCACAGAATATGGTGCAACACCGGGTCCAATGACTGAACCAGAACCAGCTTCCTCTGACCTTGTTTCACAAACAAAAAGCAAAAAACATTAATCTCTAAACCTATTTTAAAAACCTATAAACATATTAATCTCTAAAACTAAACCTAATGCGCACCACAGCTGGCGGTGATGCGGGGTGGTCGACCCCCCCACTGGTTTTAGTTTTGTTTTTGACGTGCTGCACGTTTCTTTCACTTTTGTAGCTTAATAATAAAACTAATAGTTTAGTTTTTTCCTGTGATTTATTTGCAGTTTGATAAATGGGAGGAGCATAATATACGCTCCCAATGTTTTGTTGGTCTTTTTTTTGAAATAATGAGCTTTTTTGTGGTTTTATTAATTTATTTTTGTATCTTTAGATTCTATGATGTCATCAAATACTTGAGTTCTACTCGAGTTTTATTATTTTAATGTCGAGTTTAAAAATTATGTAGTCGTTCAACCCCTAACTGGAGTAAGATGGGTTTTTTTTTAATGCACAGAAGCCACATGGTGACAAACATGACTTTTACTAGTTTTTTATTCTTGTCTTTACTTTGACATGTGTAGCTGTTGATGTTTACTCAGATTTCATTTCATTTTTATTTTAAAAGTTTTTGTGGTTTTCACCGTTCTCCAGAGAAATAAACAAACATGGAAAACTCAGAGATGCTGAGCGACGTCGATGAATGAAATCAGAAATATCAACTAATCATCAGCAAACACTGAAACCTGAACCCAGTTAGACCGACCCACACTGGATTCTCAGGATGTTTGAAAGATGCTCGAGGCTTCAGGTTTGTTCAGATTTATGCAAAAAGGGAGGCTCATCCTGGACCAGGATCAAGATGAGAAGAAGGCCACGTACAGTCAAGCAGCAGCTTCTCAGGCTCTCGTGGAAAATCCAGTTTTTTTTGTTCTGACAGCGGCACCGAGCCCGACTTCGCTCGCTCTAAGCGGGTGAATTATAACCAAACTAAACTTATTAGCATAAGAGAAGGTTTGGCTTCAAAAACAGCAGCGATGGACGACAATCTGAGAGCTACACTTGGCAGATTGCAGCTACTATGGACATCAGCGAGGAGGGACCAGCACACAAAGGGAAAAAGGAAGCGCTGCATGCGAGCCAAGAAGAGAGGAAAACTAGGAGACGTATTAGTAAGGCTAAAGGCTAATGCTAACAGACCGCTGATTCCAACTGTTCCTGGCCAATGCCCACTCTTTTGAAAACAAGCTGGACCTTCTGCGACTAAAAGTGAGTGTTTTAGAGGAGACGAGGAATGGTAAATGGTAAATGGACTGTACTTATATAGCACCTTTCTATCTTATCAAGACACTCAAAGCTCTTTACAACAATCTGTGCCTCATTTACCCATTCATACAGCTCTATACTAGATCTCTACAAAGCTAATTGAACAAATCATTCTAAAGAGACTAATCATTGGTTTATCACATTCATACACTGATGGGACACACATCAGAGGCAATGAGGGGTTCAGTGTCTTGCCCAGGGACATTTGGGCATGTGACTGCTGGTGGATTTGAACCCCCAACTCTTGCATTGGAGGACGACTGCTCTAACCACTCAGCCACAGTCGCCCCTGTGGAACTGTGCTGTGCTCTCACAGAAACATGGTTTAACAACATCGTGCTGGACTCAGCCTTCCAGCTGGACAACAGACTGCTTTTCCGGGCAGACCAAAACCAGTTATCGGGGGAGGCTCGGGGGATGGGGGGGATATGTAAGTAAAGGTTGGTGCACAAACTGTGATCTGATAAACAGTACCTGATCTGAGGCTGTAGAACAACTGACTGTGAAATGTCGGTTACATTATTTACCTCATGAGTTTATGGCGGTGTATATCACTGTTCTCTATATAGCTCCAGATGCTAATGCTAAAGATGCTCTGCAGGAGCTACATGATAACATCAGCTCGCTTCAGAACAAGCACCTGGAGGCTCTTTATGTTGTGACTGGTGATTTTAATCACGTAAACCTGAAAGACACTCTGCCAAGATTTTATGAGCATGTGACCATACCACCACGGAGAAATAACACACTAGACTGTGTTTATACCAACATATGAGACACATATAGAGCCGTACCATGCACCTACCTTGGCCTCTTTGACCACATCTCCATCTTTATGGCTCCTGTCGACCACCCCCTGCTGAGACGTTCCAGACCCACTCAGAGGACCATCACTGTGTGGCCCAGTGACAGTGACTCTGTACTGCAGGACTGCGTTGCACATACAAACTGGCAGATTTTCAGGGAGGCCGCTGTAAATGAAGGAGAGCTGGATCTGGAGGAATATACATCTGCTGCCCTCGGATAGATCAGCAAATGTGTTGAAGATATCACCACAACCAGGAGTGTGAAGTGTTACCCAAACCAGAAACTCTGGCTGAACACAGAGGTCCATACCCTGCTGAAAGCCAGGGATGCTGTTTTCAGGTCTGGCGACTCACAGGAACTGGGAAGGACAAGGAAAGAGCTGGCTGCTGATACATAGAGGGCCAAAGCCACATATGCACAGAAGATCCAGGGATATTTCTCCTCACTGGATGCATGGAGCATGTGGAAGTGCATTAAGTGCATCACAGACTATAACAGCAGAGGCAAACAATGCCCTAGGGACCCATCACTTCTTGATGTTCTTACCAGGTTCTATGCCCACTTTAAAGACCCAAATAAATCACCCAGTACCAGACTCATTTCACCATCTGAAGAGGAGTTCCTCAGTGTGACCTCAGTAAAAGTAAGGAGTACCAGGAGGATTCCATCCATCCATCCATTTTCTTCCGTTTATCCGGGGTCGGGTCGCGGGGGTAGCAGCCTAAGTAGGGAGGCCCAGACTTCCCTCTCCCCAGCCACTTGGGCCAGCTCTTCCGGGGGAATCCCGAGGCGTTCCCAGGCCAGCCGAGAAACATAGTCCCTCCAGCGTGTCCTGGGTCTTCCTCTGGGCCTCCTTCCGGTGGGACGTGTCCGGAACACCTCATCAGGGAGGCGTCCAGAAGGCATCCTAAACAGATGCCCAAGCCACCTCAACTGGCTCCTCTCGACATGGAGAAGCAGCGGCTCTACTCCGAGTCCCTCCCGGATGATCGAG